CACAAAACGCCTTACAATGCCTCACAAAATGCCTTACAATGCCTTATTAAACGTCTTATTACAATGAGCGTTAGAAATCTGAGTTGAATACGACATGAGGTGTTTAAATATATATGTGTGATATGTATGTGTGATTGCAATTTTGAATTCATAAACACGAATTTGATGAGAAGAGAAAATTTAATAACATGAATTGCATGGAAGATGCACTGATTTTAAAATTCTCTATGGTCAACCTCCGACCAGGCTCATACACAGGATCACAGATCATTGAAGAGGTAATAGTAGAACAATGGAGTTCATATATAAATATTTCGTTAAAGAAGGACATTAGAAAAACTGAATGGAAAAATTATAAAATATTCTTTGTCTGCTATATTCAACGAAACATGAAAAAAGGACGATTGCCTACCAAACGCACTAAAGACAGACAGACAGACAGACAGATAGATAGATCGATAGATAGATAGACAGATAGATATATAGATAGACAGATAGATATATAGATAGATAGAAAATGAAAAGAAAAAGATAGACAGACAGGCAAGCAGATAGATAGATAGATAGATAGATAGATAGATAGATAGAAACAATGTGAAATAAATGTGAACTCATTGACATAAAGTGATAGATAGACTATAACATATATATATATATATATATATATATATATATATATATATATATATATATGTGTGTGTGTGTGTAGATAGAAGATAGAGAGAGATAGATATAGGTATCTCTCTCTTCTCTACATTCAACACCATAATTTAATAAGACACAAGAAGGTTTTACATTCAACACCATCACTTGAGCACTCTTTTAAGAATAGTATTTTTTCGATATTGGAATTTATTCCGTATACACTAATCCTATAATTGGATATATATATATATATATATATATATATATATATATATATATATGTGTGTGTGTGTGTGTGTGTGTGTGTGTGTGTGTGTGTGTGAGTGTGTGTGTGTGTGTGTGCAGATAGATAGATAGATATGAACAATGTGAAATAAATATGAACTCATTGACATAAAGTGATAGATAGACTGTAACATATATATATATATGTGTGTGTGCGTGTGTATTTCTCTCTGTCTGTCTCTCTCTCTATCTATATATATATATATATATATATATATAGATAGATAGATAGATAGATAGATAGATAGATAGGTGAATAGATAGATTATTAGAAAATATACATAATTACATAACACTATATAACTGTTTCTGTACATTGTCTCTCATTGTGTACTTATCTAAGTGTATTCTTATCTGTCTATTTCAGTGTGTTCTTATCTCTCTCTCTCTCTCTCTCTCTATATATATATATATATATATATATATATATATATATATATATATATATATATATATATCTGTCTGCTCATATTCTACGTTGTTTGCTACGTATTGACATTTCATACATTATTGATATTCTTCCACTTTTGTCTTGTATGATTCCACATGCGTGGTGGCGCCGTCTTCCTCTTTTTGTGAATGGAAATGAGAGAAAGAGAGAAAAAGATCGTGAGTGCGAGAGAGCGAGAGAGAGAGATTGAGAGAGCGATAAAGAGAGAGCGTGATTGAGTCCGTGTCTGTGTGCGCGTTCTGGATTCATTCTTCGTGCAATTCTGCACCGAACAGTGCACGAGGGTTGCACCTACAAGAAGTCGTCTTGCCAGCGCGTGACTCTCTTCCTATTACGCAATCCGTGTTTACGATCTCGTCTTTGGCATTACAAACGAGAGAAGAAAGAAAGAGAGAAAGAAAAAGAAAAAAAAAAAAAACTAACGACTTTTGATAGTATCAGGACGAAAGAACGTGATGCACTCGGTGAAAGAGGGGGAAATGAATATTTATTATTCGCATGTGATTCATGAGACCAACAACATCAATAATAATAATAATAATATTAATAATAACAATAATAATAATAATAATAATGAATGAATGATGTTGCTATTAATAGGATTATATCACACTGCAAAAGAAATAAACGCAATAATGAAAATCTGATCATTTTAAAAATCTGAGCTGAAAATTCTCTTTTACGCATAAAAAAATGGGAAAAGCTAAAAAAAATTATACATAATTAAAAAAAAAGACAACTGTAAAAATAATTTTAGATATAAATGGAATTGTAAAATATTTCGGTGGAAGAAAAAACGACACTTAAACATAACACAATAGACAGAGATAAAAAGATTGAGATAAAAAAATACTTACATAGACAGACAGAGAGATAGATAGATAGATAGATAGATAGATGTGAACAGACTGGGATATATATATATATATATATATATATATATATATATATATATATATATATAGATAGATAGATAGATGGATAGATGGATAGATAGATAGATAGATATGAACAGACTGGGATAGATAGATAGATAGATAGATAGATAGATAGATAGATAGATAGATATGAACAAACTGGGATAGATAGATAGATAGATAGATGGGATAGATAGATAGATAGATAGATGAATAAATATGAACAAACTGGGATAGATAGATAGATAGATAGATAGATAGATAGATAGATAGATAGATAGATATGAACAAACTGGGATAGATAGATAGATAGATAGATAGATAGATAGATAGATAGATAGATAGACAAAGATGGGATATGAACAAACTGGGATAGATAGATAGATAGATAGATAGATAGATAGATAGATATGAACAAACTGGGATAGATAGATAGATAGATAGATAGATAGATAGATAGATAGATAGATATGAACAGACTGGGATAGATAGATAGATAGATAGATAGATAGATAGATAGATAGATAGATAGATATGAACAAATTGAATCAGTTATAAACAGACCCACACATATATATGTATAAATAAACTGATATTATATTAGTAGGTGTATATAGACATGTGTATAGATTTAAAATCACACACACACACACACACACACACACACACACACACACATATATATATATATATATATATATATATATATATATAAACTTCGGTCTGAAGAGCTGAATATTTGAATTTATTCATGAAATAAATTATAACCGAAAATGGATTTTTAAGGATCATCTGTACTCATCATCATCATTATTATTATTATTA